TCCCAGGGATTGCCCAAGACGCCCCCCCCCCCAACCAGGCTCAGTGGCTCACACCTGTAATCCTAGCACGTGAGGCTGAGGAGGGTGGATTGCCTGAGCTCAGGAATGTGAAGACTAGCCTAAGCAACAACGAGACCCCCTCTCAACTGAAAATAGAAAAACTAGCAGGGTGTTGTGGTGGGTGCCCGTAGTCCCAGCTACTCAGGAGGCTGAGGCAAGAGGATCTGTTGAGCCTAAGAATTTGAGGTTGCTGTGAGCTACGATGATGCCAGGGCACTCTACTCAGGGCTATGGAGAGAAACTCTGTCCTGAAATAAATAAATAAATGCAACAAAGGATGCAAAATTCCCAGATTTTTTTAGGGATGAATAGTATTCCGTGATATATATATCTCACAGTTTATTAGTCCATTCATGTATTGATGGCGACTTGGGTTGAAAAAGGGAAAATTTTAAGTACTTCTAGTGTTCTAGTGCCTGGCAGATAGAGTAGACATAGCTCTTGCACTTAAGGAACATCATGTGAATACACACACATGCACACGAATGACAGATTTTGGAAAGTGGCATGAGATAGGATCATAAAACTAGGAATTCGGGCCTTATCTAGGGGTTAAGGGGAGTGTCCATGGGAAGCGGCATTTGTTCTAAGTCCTAAAAGAGAACTGACCTTCTCTGGGGTGAAAGGGTACAGCAAAACAGAAGATTTCTGGAAGCAATAGTAGCTCGTGCAAGGGCCCTTTGGCAGAAACATTTATTTATTTATTTATTTTTAGAGACAGAGTCTCACTTTGTCGCCCTCAGTAGAGTGTTGTTCTATCACAGCTCATAGCAACCTCCAGCTCTTGGGCTTAGGCAATTCTCTTGCCTCAGTCTCCCGAATAGCTGGGACTACAGGCACCTGCCACAACACCCGGCTATTTTTGTTGTTGTAGTTTGGTGAGGGCCAGGTTTGAACCCGCCACCCTCAGTATATGGGGCTGGCGTCCTACTCACTGAACCACAGCCGCCGCCCAACAGAAATATTTTTAAAAGGAGGCTGGTGTAGCTAGAGTTGAGGAGAAGAGGGGAAGCAGCACAGCTGAGCGCAGGGATTATGGATTTGGACCTCTGGAGTGGCAAGCAAAACGGGACTCACCGGAGGGTCTGGAGTTTGCATGTGGGAAGCCTGAGCCCCTCGCACAGCAGCTGCACCCCGGGGTCCCCCAGCTCATTCAGGCTAAGGTCCAGCTCCATCAGGTTCTGGTTCACACTCAGGGTCGAGGCCAGATCTTCACAGGCAGCAGCAGTGAGATGGCAAATCTTTAACCTACACAAAACCCACCCCCCCAGCAAATAATACAGAGTGTTTTCTACATGATGCTAAGGTTATCCCCTCATCCCTGATCTTACAAGTAATGTGTTTTCAGATAAACAATCCAATGAAAAACTGGACAAAGACTTTGTTTTTTGCAATTTTGGGGGGGGGGCCAGGGCCAGGTTTGAACCCCCCCCCACTTCCAGTATATGGGGCCGGCGCGCCCTACTCCTTGAGCCACAGG